GCCTTCAAAATCAGGCTAGCACTAGGCACCTGCCTACAGTCACTGGTCGCTGCTTGAAGGCATCTGTAAGTAATGAAAGCCCAAGCGGAGCCCCACAATGGCCAGCACTAATTCAGGAAGCAGTATAACCAAGGGAGGTCTTGCAAAAAACAGTATCCGCGCTAGCTCTGTCCTTACTCGATGAGTAGCTTTTTTAACCTAGTTCTGCCTTCACTGTTGATGTATTGGACTACAGGTCCCATCATGCTCAGCCCTTCCATGGCTGTACTGTGTACACCATAATGCACTTAAAACACATACATCTTTCTCTTCCTCCCAAGATGGCTCTCAGGATTGCTTTCATGGAAAGGCCTGCCTGGCTGCAGCTTGGTGGCTTCAGCTGTCACATGTTCGGGGCCAGCCTAACCATTACAGGCAAAGGGACGCAGGAGGTCATGAGGAACAGGCTGCAACTCCGGTCAGCCTTTGTATACGGGGAAACTAAGAGACCTAGCCTCAGCCAGGAAAAACGCCTTGGGCCAACCTTGCATGCCTGTGACTACCAGATGCTGTGGCTCTGCTCTGAACACAAGCAGGGCTAGAGGAAAGAACTGTGTTAACACTACCCGGTGATCCTTGGGAGAAAAGAAGATTCTTCGGAAGTCATGTGTTTTATGCTAGAGAAAGGGCAGCCTTCCAGGTGTAGTTGGACTACAACACCCATCAGTCCTAGCCAACATAGCCAGGGGCAGGGAATGTGGGGAACCCAACATCATCAGGAGCCCACTTATTTTTTAGAATTGATCCTACTTGTCACCTACTCTCTCTCCTCCTCATCCAGCCCAGGTGACTTGAGTCTGTGGGGCCCTTAATGAGGCTGTCAGGTTCTACTCATCATGAACATCCTTCCTCTTTTATCTGAAACATGATGAGTTGCGCCATTAAGAGTTCTCATCCATCTTTTTTTTTTCTGGCTGTTCCCTTGTTTTCACTGAAGACAAGCCCCCCCCATTAGCAATCAGCTCCACTTATATATAGGGACCCAGCTGTTTCCCTCCACAGCAGCAGCTGGGGAAGAGCAGGACAAGCTCACCACAGAGTGATGTAACAAAGAGCAGCTATTTTTAGCACCATTGTTGCAAATATGTATATTCAGTTCCAGTTGACCAGCAGCTGTTCTTGCCACATTTAGAGCAGAAACCACAGTTTCTGCATGTGATGTAAAGCCAAAATAAGCAAATTGACACCTTTCTTATGTGACTGGATTTCAACTTCCATCAGCCTTACACAGCATGACCAAAGGTGTAGAGATCATGAGAACTGCACCTCACCATCTAGAGAACCTCACATGGTCTATATTCTAAATATGAAGCAAAACTATAAGCAAAGGTAATTTAGAAAAGATACAGGAGGGATAGCAGGTCAGTAATGGGAGACTGGGCTACCATGCCGGAGGAAAGTATGGCAGCATCCTTTGGAAAAAGGAGTGTTTTGCAACTTCTAGAGAATTTCATCATATTCAAACGGCTTTCTAGCTCTTGTAGCTGGGCAATGTGTTTGAAAAGCATACATGGCATTTCTCAACATTTCTGAAGTGACAGAAGAGTTCCAACAAGGTTTCTCTCCAGTGGGAGGACGAGGGACGTGTGGTCATAATGATGATGCTGGACTGCATCTCCCATCTGCGTCAATGTACACAATGGCTAAAGATCAGGGGAGTTGTTGTCCAACAGCATCAGGAGGACCACATGTTCCAGGCTACCCAAGACTGTACAAAGGGTTTCCATGTCCTGTATAGCTCCTTAGCAAACCATCAATGTTATACAAAAGAGCCAGCACTCATAGTGATGCATGAAATGAAGTCAATCTGCACATTTCATAGGGTTCATGAGCTAATATTTTTCTTGACTGTTCCCCCCCCCCAAGTCCTTTTGCTTACAGAAGATACATTGCTCTTCTAGCATATTCGGTGACTTCTACACATAGTTTCCAAGTTCTGGAATAACAGAAATAGACAGACCCTGCAAGACGGAGATGTATTGAGGACTTGAGTTTGATTCCCTTTAGGTCAAGCGCTTCTATCAGGATGGGGAATTTTTTTTTATGCCAAACTGCAATTCCTTTCCACCCTAGCAAGCCTGACCAATGGTGAGGCATGAGAGGTGCTCCTCAGTATCTAGAGAGCTGGAGATTCCCTGTCCTTGGCTTGTACCTTCCCTGCTTACATCCTGTTGGGAGAAATGTGGCATATAAATCATCATCATCATAGACTCCTCCTTTTCATCTTCACTTGCCACAGGTAATCCCAATTGTTCCACAAACTGGGTTTGGTCAAGGGCCATGCAATTTCATTGATACCAAAGTGGGAAAATACGTGCCCTTCTAGATGTAAGTAGACCACAACTCTCATCATTCGTCACCATCATCTATGGTGGCTAATGATAATGGAAGCCTACACTCCAGAATTCCAGAACGAGCTGGAATTTTTAGCATCTATACATTATTGAAACAGTGACATCTACATTGGCTTGGGCATGTCGTGAGAATGGCTGACGGCCGGATTCCAAAGGATCTCCTGTATGGAGAATTAGCGCAGGGAAATTGCCCCAGAGGGAGACCACAGCTGTGATACAAGGACATCTGCAAGTAGGATCTGAAGGCCTTAGGAATGGACCTCAACAGATGGGAAACCTTGACATCTGAGCGTTCAGCCTGGAGGCAGGCGGTGCATCAGCCTCTCCCATTTTAAAGAGACCCTTGTCCAGCAGGCGGAGGCAAAGAGGAAGTCACAAAAGCAGCAAAATCAGGGAGCTGGACAGGAGACAGACTGTATTTGTCTTCAGTGTGGAAGGGATTGTCACTATCGAATCTGCCTCCTCAGCCACACTAGACGCTGTTCCAAGTCCTCCATACAGAGCACGTTACCATAGTCTCTCAAGACTGAAGAATGCCTAATGACACTCCAACTACATCTGGAAGGCCACAGTCTCTATCCCTAAATGAGAATGCTGTATCGTAAGCAGGTAGCGATTCAACATACACAGACATCTGGAAGAGAGGACTACCCTCCCACTTCTCCCCACAGTTAACATGTCAAGAAAGATCATACACAGAAGCACATTGTGCCAGCACAGGGTGGCTTTAATTTATGTCTTTAATTGTGCATTCACTTGACACCACATTAGACCGTTCACATGATAAAAGACTGTAATGTCGTTGCCTGCGACTCTGTTTACAACAAGCAGTTTGACCCAAGCGTTCCCATTTCACACTTTGCTCCAGCTAAAGAAATAATCCTATTCATTACACAGTGCTCCACAAATGTACCACTTCTTTTAAAAAAAGAAAAGGCAGAAGGAGAGGGAGAAGAGAGAGAGAGAAAGACAGTGTTAGTTTATCGTGCCGCTCCTGAGCGCTACAACCAGACGTGGAGACTGTGACCTGGAATGTTAACGGGCTGGGCTCTCCTCACAACCCGCACATGGTGGATCTCCCCTTCAACCCAAAAGGTTGCTGGACAAGACCTTCTACAAGATGGAGTGCTTCTCGAAAGGGATCGTCAACTCCTTCGCAGCTGGCTCATCCAAAAACCAATAGAGCTTCCCGGTATGAGGCTGGACAAGGGCAGCCGGCAATGGGTTTTCTTCATCACCTTCCAATATACGCTGTCCCAAAGAAAGGAGGTTAAGACTCTCATAATATGGATCTCTAAAGTACATGCACATTGCTCAAGAGGCTAATGTTTCTTTTGCCTCCCACACTTGCCCCTTCTGCAAGTTAAGACTTTTGAGTTGGTTCTGCTGGACCTCTCAGCAGCTTTTGATACCATCAATCACGCTATCCTTCTGGGTCGTCTCTCTGGGATGGGACTTGGAGGCATTGTTTTAGTGGCTCCAGTCCTTGGAGGGGAGAGTCCAACAGCTGGGGCTGGGGGACTCCTGTTCAACACTTTGGCCTTTGGTGCATCCCTCATGGATCTGTTTTGACCCCTATGCTATTTAACATCTACATGAAACCACTGGGAGAGGTTGTCCAGTTTTGGGGTTCAGTATCATCAATATGCTGATGACACCCATCTCTATCTCTCCTTTCCCTCTAAATCCAAGGCAGCTGTCTCAGTTCTAAATCAGTGTCTGGTGTCCGTAATGGACTGGATGAGGACAAATAAAGAAACTCAATCCAGACAAGACAGAGGTGCTCCTGGTCAATCGAAAACCAGATCAAGGAACAAGGTTGCAGCCTGTGCTGGATGGGTTTACACTCACTCTGAAAACACAGGCACACAGCTTGGGGGTGTTTCTGGATTCATCTCTGAGCCTGGATGCCCAGGTTTCAGTAGTGGTGAGTTGTTCATTTGCACAGTTAAAATAGTGTGCCAGCTGTGTCTGTTTCTTGAGGTATGATCTGGCTGTAGTGACACATGCCCTAGTTACATCTCAGTTGGAGTACTGTGACGTGCTGTATGTGGGACTGCTTTTGAAAAGTGTTTGGAAATTTCAAAGGGTCCAAAACGCCACCGCTAGATTGTTAACTGGTGCTGGTTACAGGGAACATGTAACCACCCCTGTTATAACAGTTCCAGTGGCTGCCAACCTGTTTCTGGACACAATTCAAAGTGCTGGCTTTAACCTACAAACCCCTAAACTGAACTCTCCCACTTCAGACCAGTCATCCTCAACTCATGAGAGGGCAACAGAAGTGACAACAGAAGGAGGAAGGCTAGGATATTCCTCTTTTTGAGTGAGTATCCGCTGTGGTTTCTGAAAGGATGAAGAGGGTGAAACTATGAGGAAACTCAGAAGCACATGTTTGTTGAGACAGATCGCTAGTGGTTAGAGCTGTGGCTTCAGTTCTCTGCGTAAGCGCCCTGCGCCCCACTGCTACCAGAAAGGCAAGAAAACAGAGTAAATCCATGCATACACATTAATATGCACTGGCTGGAATTGTACCAATGCTTGCATAAGAGCTGCATAACTTGTCATGGCCAAGTGTGGCTAATTGACAAGGGGTGCATTTCGGTTCTGTGTGGCTAGGCATGCAAGCAAGGCACAGCTTGGTAATTAGCTGCAACTGGACACAACATCACACAAATCTTATGCAAACACCAACAGGATCGTGCCCATAAGCTGCTTTTTCCAACACAGAGATCTACCAAAACGGTTCTAGTTCCACAGCAAGGGAAGGAACCCTCCAGCCTCTGGGTCTAGTCTGACCTATGGGGATTCCTCATCCAGTCTCCTGGGAAACCCTTTGCCCCCAACTCTTGAGAAGGCGGCCACACAAACGAAAGCTACCTTTATCACAGCCGCCTTACTGTCTCCAGTGGCAACAAACACCACGCTCCTTGCTGCATTCAGCACCGGCAGGGTCAGCGTGATCCGCTCCGGAGGGGGCTTTGGGGAATTGCTAATTGCTGCCACAATCTTCTCCCGCTCCTGCCAGAGGAAAAGCGATATGAAAGAGGAAGAAGGAAAGAGGCAAGTGAGAGGTATAGCAACACAGTTGTGTCCCACTAGGGCAGATACATTGTGTTTCTGTTTGCTTAGCTTTCCCTGTTGAGGGCTTGGGGTAAATGTGCCAGGGTCCTGCAGGCTTGATGCTGAACACAAAAGCTAACAAACATCCCACGACGACACTCGAGAGCATTATTCATGAACCACAGAAAAAGCATCGTTCCTGCTTTCAAGAAACTAACTTACAAATTCTTTGAGAGTGGAGGTGGGCAGATCAAAATAAAAATAAGTGTTACAGAAATGTGTACAGTGGTGCCTCGCATAACGAGCGCACCGTTTAACGACGAATCCACATGGCAATCTGTTTTTTGCAATTGCTAATGCGATCGCATTAGTGGAGGTGGGCAGATCAAAATAAAAATAGGTGTTACAGAAATGTGTATTTTAGAATTGGAATGGATCTCAAGCACCATCTAGTCAATCTCCTATTGAAAGAGGAAATCCATAGTTTAAAAAAATCCCTTGCCACAGGGTGAGCTACGCTTTGCTTTCTTCTAATAAAGGAGAGTCCACCACCTTCTCAGACAAGCGTCTTTCACCACTGAGGTGGTCAGAGGTTCTTCCTAACACTTGACTGAATCTCGCTTCCCAGAATCTTGAACCTACTGGCTCAAGTCCTACCCTCTGAGCACTGGAGTGAAAAATAAAATTGGCTTCACCTTTCAAACACCATTTAAATTCATAAGCCAGGTTGGTTGGAGGAGGATGGGAGAATTTCCTCCAGGAAGGGTTGGACTGATGCTCCCATCATCATCCTTCGGGGCAGGGCAGGGGGATGGGATTAATCCGGAACGGATTAACGTCGCTATGCGGGGCATCACTGTATTTTAGAGTTGGAATGGATCTCAAGCACCATCTAATCAATCTCCTATTAAAAGAGGAAATCCATAGTTTAAAAAAATCCCTTGCCACAGTCCTACCCTCTGAGCACTGGAGTGAAAAATAAAATTGGCTTCACCTTTCAAACACCATTTAAATTCATAAGCCAGGTTGGTTGGAGGAGGATGGGAGAATTTACTCCAGGAAGGGTTGGACTGATGCTCCCATCATCCTCCTTCGGGGCAGGGCAGGGGGAGACGATGAGAGCTGAAGTCAAACCCATCTAGATGGTGGGAACTCTGTTCTATGAATTCTTGTGGTGTTTTCAAAAAAGTTTATTCTGATAGCAACAACATTTTAGTAATTCCTTGAGAAGAAAAGAGCCACCCAACCATCTTAAACTGTGGCAGAAACACAGACATGCCAGGCATCAGGTCAGAGAGTGGAGACTGTATTTGCAAAAGAGCAGTTTAAGAATTCACAGAGCCTGGGATTTTGTTTTCTATCTAGACGATACCATCCAGAATTCCCTAGCCACTAGGCCTGTTGGCTGTAGGATTTTCTGTGCATCTGCAGCCATGAGGAGATCCCAGCAAATTCAAGTCCCTGAATGACTCTATGGTAGATTTTTAAATATCCAGGCATCTAGCAGTCCAAGCAGCCCTTATAAATAGCCACGACCCATTCCAAAATGTTTTTAAACTTGGATCGGGTGGGCTTTTGCCTGAAACAATAATACTGATGATTTACAACATATATGCCTTCTTGCTTCTTCAGCAAGTGTCCTTATTTTTTTAAGAGCAACTCATTACTTCTCGCTCTTTTCTATGTTGGGCTGCCCAGCCTCAACTCTTTGTTGTGGGTCCTCATTTCTACTTCACAATCTCTTAACTGAAATGCAGATATAACTAAATGTTCTCCCCAAATTGAAACGTTAAGCGAGGCACCACTGTATTCTCCCCAAATTCAAATATCACCCCCTTCCACCAAAGCAATGTTTTAAGAATCAATAATGAAATACTGATATACAAACAATAATTTCTTTCACTAGCCGCCCTATTTCTTTTGAAAAGTAGTAACTCTGATAAAGGCTTTACTCCCCACAAAAGGAACACCTTAAAGGCCAAGATCACACCCTGGTTCCTATGCAGAAGGCAGTCCCTGTCCCAGTTTAGGGATATGACTCTTGGTGCAGTCCATTCTGAAGAACAGAGGTGCACATACTTTCGGTTTTCAATGACAACTCCCACAATTACCTAGGCAGCCTGGCAAATATACAGTGGTGCCCCACTAGACGTTTAACCCGCATGACGACGAAATTGCTTAATGATGACTTTTTTGCAATCGCTATAGCGATCGCAAAACGATGTTTCCTATGGGAGATTTCCATTTAATGACGATTAGGTCCATGCTTCGCGAACCAATTGTTCACAAGATGACGATTTAAAACAGCTGATCAGCGGTTCACAAAATGGCTCCCCACTGTTTTCCGGACTGATTTTCACAAGACTGCAATTGCAAAATGGCCGCCCTATGGAGGATCTTTGCAGGACGATCAGGTATTTTCCCCACTGGAATGCATTAACTGGTTTTCAATGCATTCCAATGGGTTCTTTTTTTCACATGACGATGATTTTGCGGTACAGCGATTTTAACAAAACGGATTATTGTCGTCATGCGGGGCACCACTGTATATATCTCTTGTTTAACACACAGGGTTAAATCACGACTTAGATTTTTTTTAATTGGATTTTTCTTAATGATTTACATTTTTTTACAACCTGATTTTTAAATTTAAATTATGATTTCAATCGTGGTCTAAATTAATTTGATTTTTTTAGTCACTGATTTTTTTTAATCCACCCTGTTTAACAGGGAGGAAGAATGCCTGTGGGCAAGCAGACTGACAACAGAAGAGAAGCTTCTGGTCGGCTCAGGAGATTCTCCGCTTCCCATCAGTCAAACCATAACCTGTTACAAGTAAAGCAATCCCTTTCCCGCACAACCTAAGCCCTCAGCGATAAGGCACATGAGAAATCCAATTACAGGGAAGGGATTAGTCAGCCCTGCTGCATCAACTTCACTTGTCTGGAACAGCAATGCTGGCAGCACTAAGATAACTTCATCCCTCAAATCTTGTGGGGGTGGGATCCCGAGTGATCTAGCCATTTAAAAAAAATTAACACCGACCACAGAAGGTTCACAAAGCCACATAAAGCAGGCAGTAACTGGGTTCCATGCTTCCAGCCTCTGCTGCA